CGGGGGGAAGAGTGATGAACTGGGAAGGTAGACCAAAGCAGGTTTGGAAAAAATGGCTACAAACGAGAGTCGCTCCCGGGTTCCACCGGTGGTTGAGCACAGCCATGTGGCCAAAAAGCGGTATTGCGCCTACTAGAATAATCACCATCGGGTTACGTCATCGGACCGATCAGTGTTCATCTGGCCTTACAAAACCTCTCTTTCCTGATTCTGTCTTATAAGGAAATGTGCTTTTTTATGGCTTTCAGACCTGCCAAGTGTTGAGATGTTTGCTTTTCTCAATTGCACTGAGCAGCTTGCTTTTCCACTGCCGTTCTAACTCAGTTCTGTACAGGCCCAAAATTCAAGCATGTTTGGGCCAGCATTTTTAAAACACACACATTTTTTGCAAAGTCTATTATATTAACTGGTTACATGTAACAGGTATTTGTAATTAATTACTATGGGGTATTAAGTAATGTAATAAGCACTTACAAATCTACAGTCAAAATAATAACAACCAGTCACAAATTGATTATGGTATAAGGATGATTGTTTTCTAGTTGCTTTCAAAAATAACTTTTAAAAGTCTTTCAGAAGCATTTTTGACCTGAATTTTTCAGGTTCACGCCATGCTCTTATCAATGTTTAGCAGTAAGGAAAGCATGAGTCGCTTTTGTCTTTCATATTTTCATCATATTTGGAAAGTGATATCAATGGTGGCCAGTAGGGGGAACAAGAGAGTATTTTCTTGCATTTTTCTGCAGGATAATGCAATACATTAATAACATGTAACATAACAGAATAATTTCACTAGCAAAGTGATGATAAGAGCAACATGGCTGCTAACAAGTATTATGTAACAGAAGTTCCTTTTAAAAACTAAAGATCCAAGTTCTGCATTTCTGCATTAATTGCACTCTTTCGCCATATTGGGTTTGTGCACCTTTCCGTGACAAGTGCTCTTTGTGCATGTTTCCAATGAGTGCATATTTCCAATCAAAAAGTTTTGTGCGGTTCTGGGAGGTGTGAATGAAATCTATTTTTTAAAAAATTCTCAAGAGTAACTTGCTTATCCATCTCTACTTTTGCTAGAGACAAAACGCCCCAGGGTCCATAAATCATTTCCCCAGACAGAGGAAGCTTCTAGTTTGTTAACTGTTTGTTAACCTAACAACATGCCAGCTCATCTTTCTACCATATTCCTCCCTTCTGGACCCCCTCACCATTTCTGGACACTCAAACTGGGGAAAGGTCTGCCACTGGAGACAGGAGAGCACTTTTCAAATACTTGAAAGGCAGTCCTACAGAAACAGGGCAGGATCTGTCTTAATCATTCCAGAGTGCAGGATGCGCAACCATGGGCTCAAGGTGCATGATGCCAGCTTTCAGGGAAATATCAGGATAAACTTCTTAACTGTTAGAGTATTACACCAATGGAAGCCCAGGACCTTGGGAGACCGTGAGCCTCTTCCAACCCCATGATTCTAGGATATCAACATTCAAGGCAAATCAAACCTCCCCCCCCCCACTTGAGCTGAAAGCAATCTCAAACGAAAACAAAACAGAATCACATCAGTGGCTTACTATAAAGCACATCGAAGACTTCCTCCACCATCTTCCTGAGGAGGTAAACGTCTGATCCCGGATCCGAGGCGATCCGCGGAATGGTTCGGCCAAAATCCTTGACCTTCCTGTGGCCATCCAGATCTTGTTCTTTCCTCTGTTGGATTCCTTCCGGTGGGGTTATAAGCGAAGGAGGAACAGAGAAGAGATGGCAATTCAGGGGATGAATTCAATGATTTGGGCCAAGCTCTGCACAGATCCACGTATTCAGGGTAACAGCATGCAAAACATGGAATTTCATAAAAGATAAATGAGATGAGCAGTAATAGCCAAGAGGCAGAGAAGGGGAGAGCGATGGAAATCCTTTGAAAAACAAGGAAGGATCTGTGCTGAAAATGATTACCTACTGTAGTGGCCAAAATCTTGTAACTCAGTGTAACAGATTGCACCAGAGTAGGCCCACTGAATCAATGGAGGTTGAGTGAGTCAATTCATTTGTACATTTCATTGATTCAAAGGAGTCTAACTATGACTTACTATGCTACAGTACATTGCAATTAGAGTAGGGATTGAGTGAATCAACAACTCTGTACATTTCATTACTTCAAATGGGTCTACTCTAACAATGATTTACTATGCTTCAGTAAGTTGCAGTTAGTTTAAACCTGTTTGAATCAATGGGGATTTAATAAGTCAACCCTTCCATACATTTCATTGATTCAAATTGTTATACAACTCTGACATACTATGCTACAGTAAGTTGAGGCTAGAGTAGATCCATTTGAATCAATGGAACTTAGAGAGGGGGTGACTCAGCAAGTCCCCATTGATTCAACGGTCCTACTCTAGTGAAACTTACTACCCTAAGCAACAGGATCTGAGCCAGCATAATCATTGTCAATGACAATGGATAACAAAAACAGCAAAACAATAACAACCAACAAGAAATTGCATTTCGTTATAATTAATTGCAAAAATTGTCAAGGGGAACCTTTACCTTTATAATTAATTGCAATTAATTTATTAACCATAATGAACAAATAATAGCTATAAAAAGGATGATAGCCTTCTATCAGTATTAATTATTATACTTAAAAAACTGAAATTCTGGTCTGCAGCACACCTGTGTAACTTGAAGTTGTATAAGCGTTGGGAAAACAAACGCAGCACAACGGACGTTAAGATCCACAAAGCAGTTCCACAGGTGCACAGGGCAACACTTGTTGCACAAGTGCACAAAAATTATGCACAATTATGCAATCAAATGATCTGAGTGTAGCACCCTACACATGTCCACAGGCACACCTTTCTACTGTGTCAACGTCAACAGGACTTCAGCCAGAATTAATTCATTCTAATTCATTTATTCTCTTTTAGTAACTTGATTTGTTATTAACTGATAACAACAAATAGTAATATCATCAATATGACATCAGTTAACGAATGCCAACGCGTACTAATGTGATCAACAATAAATACACCCTTCAAAATCAAGTATTTGTGCTCTATTTTCTGCAGGCAAACGGCATAGGACAAGAGAAAGAGACATATGAATTTGTGTTTCTAAGTCTAAACATTCGAGTGTTCATCCCAGAGTGAAAGAGGAAATGAGTGAGGAAGTATCCATGGAAGCACAAATATGTCAGGTATCTACGTGTTTGTACGAGTGTTTGCAAACACCGAATATTCACAAATAGATTAGACTGGGGGTGAAATTTACAGCTGGCGCACATACGCACCGGATAATCCCAGTTATCTTTGACCTTGACAGGCGAGCAGGGCTAATATTTGCAGGAGAAAGCGCTATTCTTGAGCAGTTCCACCGAGGGGATTAAGCACAAACAGCCTCTCTGCCAGCATCAAGCAAGCAAGCCACTGCATGGATAGAATCCCAACAACATTTGGCTTTAACCCGCTTTCTCCCCAGCCAAGGCCTAACTCACACCCGTAGGGACGGCACACACCATAAAATATACACTTCAGCATGGCGGGTTGCAGGTGGAACGACGGACTCTCAGCTTCAGATCTTGCACCACAGTGCCTGTAGGGGGCAGCGGAGGTCTTGGGCAGGGATGTTGGCAAGTCTTTGGGTCCAAGTCCCAAGTCCGAGTCTTTGGTCCCAAGTCTGAGTCTTTGGTCCCAAGTCCAAGTCTTTGGTCCCAAGTCTGAGTCTTTGGTCCCAAGTCTGAGTCTTTGGTCCCAAGTCTGAGTCTTTGGTCCCAAGTCCAAGTCTTTGGTTCCAAGTCCGAGTCTTTGGTCCCAAGTCTGAGTCTTTGGTCCCAAGTCCGAGTCTTTGGTCCCAAGTCCAAGTCTTTAGTCCCAAGTCCCAAGTCCAAGTCTTTGGTCCCAAGTCCCAAGTCTTTGGTCCCAAGTCCCAACGGCTCAAGACTAAGGATGGAAATTCAAGTCATAGAATCATAGAATAGTGAAGTTGGAAGGGGCCCATAAGGCCACCAAGTCCAACCCCCTGGTTGATGCAGGAATACAAATCAAAGGAGGTCTGCCTTTGTTGGAGCACTCGCCACCTCTTGAGGTCACTGGTTCCGTTGTCGTACTGCTCTAACAGTTAGGAAGTTTTTCCTGATATTCAACCAAAATCTGGACTCACGGTCAAGTCAGACTTAAGCCACACTGGAAACTCAAATCAGACTGAACTTTTTTTTTCAACTCATGACTTGGAACCCATCCACTCCTCCTTTTTTTTTACTGGGGGGGAAAACCTGTTTTTGATAAGGGTTCAGATTTGGGTCTTGGAATTTGGGACTGGGCATCAAAGACTCAGACTTGAGACTTGGTACCAATGACTCGGATTCAGATTTGGGACTCCAACCCAAAGAATCGCAAACATCCCCGGATGGTACTCCTGAAATGGGGAATGATGGGGCTTGTAGTCCAGAAAATCTAAAACGCCCATTGCTATTGCCTACCTGCATTCTTGCAGCCAGATGAGGCTTAAACAAGGGATTTGCCATTCACATGTCCAGCTTGGCTTCAGATTGATTCCAGGTTGAGCTAAGCATGCAGGGGGAAAAAATCTGATTTCTCACCCGCACCACCTCCCAGCCTTGCTAGAACAAAGTAGACCCGATGCTTACTGCAAAATTTCTTGAAATCTGCTTGGACCTCCTTTCTCGTGTTCATGAACAGCCTCCCCTTCTCCGAGCCAACGACAAAAGTGTTTTCATCGTGGACAGCGATGCACGCAACTTCCGCGTTGAGTTTAGACAGTGCCGAACACTGGACCAGAAGAGAAAGCAAGACACAGCCCGTTGAAGTAAAAAAAGAGCATTTTTATCCTGTTGTTGTTTTTCCCCGCCTCCTTGGTTAGGTAATATTCAAAGGATATCAGAATCGCAGACTAGAAGCGGCGTGAGGGTTATCGTATCCACCCCAGGAAATTAAGAACTAAACCATCCCTGACAGGCGGGCCACCCAACTACGTATTTTTCGCTCCATAAGATGCACCTTTCCATAAGATGCACCAATTTTTTAGGAGAAGAAAACAGGAAAATATAATCTGTTTTCTTTGCTCCATAAAACACACAGACTTTCCACCCCCGTTTTGTGGGAAAAAAGTGCGTCTTATGGTGCGAAAAATACGGTATGTTCGAAAACCTTTCACACCACCTTCTAAAGTCTACCTTCAAATTCATTTGACTGTCAGAAGGCTCTTCCACGCTTCCCCCCCCTTTTTTTGTCATCTCAAACGGTTTCTCTTAGGACTTTAAAAATAAAATCACAAAGTTGATTACAGGGAAACCAGAAGTCTTTTTTATTCCCCCCCACCCCCAAAGAATGATGTTCATGCAAATGATTTTCTTTGTCCTACGAGATAAGAGCAGCCACGTCCTTCTGGGGAGAAGCGGCTGGCAGAACGCGAGGGATGATCAAAACCGCCGATTCCGACATAAAGGTTAATCGAAACCACAATATGTATTTTTAAAGATTCACTTCAAAAGCCCTGCCTGGCGCTGGATGTGAGGGAGAAATTTTCACTGGAGTCCTTGAAGAGGCTTCCCCCCCCCTCACAAAAGAAGCTTAAAGTAACAGTAGCTTCCTGGACCATATTCAATTCAAACCAAGTTCATAGCCGAATTTCTTGCATCAGTTCCCACCCAGAAGCTGTGTTTGCTGGCCGCCATCCTATGATACTTTCCTCCCAGGGTTTCCAGAACCCTGATCATCCTTCCTGCCCTCCTCTGAACTTGCACCAGTGGGTTGGCCTCCTTCTTGAAGAGATGAGGACCAAGCCGTGATGAATAAGGGGGGCACCAGTACCTCACAGGATTTGGAGAATATAGTTCTGTTAATGGACCCAAAAATCGCATTTGCTCTGCAAACATGCTGTGACATCACAGCCATTCAGCCAATGGCTGGCGATCCCTGAACACATAGGAAGCATGAGGGCCCCCCAGCCTCCACAGAAAAATCATCTGTAGAACTCAGGAAAGTGAAGAATCTTTGAAAGTAGGAGAGCCACAAACGTTGAGGATGGGCGGCCAAGTCATTTCTGGGTTATGGTGATCTTTCCCGGGGCCTTCTAGGTATAGAATGCTCAGACGTGGCTTCCCATTTCCTTCTTTTAGCCTTGAGACTGCAAAGTTTACCCAAAGCTACATAGGCTAGCTTTAGAATCATGGAAAACAGTGGTGCCCCGTATAGCGACGATAATCCATGCAGCAAAAATCGTCACTATACGGATTCGTTGCTATGGGGGGGGGGGGAAAGCCCATAGGAATGCATTAAAACCTGTTTAATGCGTTCCTATGGGCAAAAAACTCACCATTATGCGAAAATTCTCCATACGGCCGTCATTTTCACTGCCCGGTAAGTGAGGAATCTGGGCAAAAACACAGCGAGTGGCCATTTTTTTTAACCTGGCGGCCATTTTGGAGCCACCGATCAGCTGTTCTAAAAACATCACTATGCGGAAATCGGTAAGCGAAACAGCTTACCGATCATCGCAAAGCGATGTTTTACCATTTAAAACATCGCAATGCGATCGCAAAAACGATCGCAAAAAATCGTCGATATGCGGATTCGTCATTAAACGAAGCGCTCGTTAAGCGAAACACCACTGTATTTGAGTTCGAAGGGGGGGGCTATGATTGACTTGGAAGGAACCTATAAGGCCATCGCGTCCAACCCCTTGTTCAAGGCAGGAATCCAAATCAAAGCAGATATGACCAAGGGGAGTTCCAGATTTCTCTTGAATGCCTCCAGTGCTGGAGTGCTCACCCACTGCCTGAGGTCATAGGTTCCGTTGCTGTACTGCTCTAACAGTTAGGAAGTTTTTCCTGACATTCAGTCGAAATCCACCTTCCTGTCATTTGAGCCCATTGTTGTGTTTCCTGCACTATGGGGCTATGTTGGAGGCTTTAGGCCACCCAGAACCTCCTGCTTCTAAAGACCAAGGATCTTTATGGATTAACCTGCTCAAAATGGTGGCAGCGGCAGTGAATGTTGAGTGGAACGGACTTCTTTGATCAGGTCAGCGTAGGGTCACCTTGATGCAACAAGAATACAAAACATGGCATGTGTACTTTTCTTTCTGTACTTACTGGTGACCTTCATAAAACAGATTGCAGATGTGTTTTGTCCATCTCATACAGATGTAAACCTTGGTCATGCTGGCTTGGATTTCAGGAGTTGAGAGCTCACAAAATACATGTCCCAAGCTGCATCTCCACCTCATACCTCATGCGGTGTAATGGGCAGATTAGATCTCAAGAGACTCGGGTTCAAATCCTCACTTGGCCATGGCAACTCACTGGGGAACTGGGTAAAAGCACTCCTTAAACAACCTCACTTACCTTGAAAGTCCTGTTAGGGTCACGATAAGTCAATTCCAACTTGAGGGTGTGCAATATACATTTTTCACCCAACCTTCTGCATGGAAATCCATTTTTATTTACCGCTGCCTTTTAAGAGGAAGACTGCATAGGACAAGGACCGACTCCCTAAAGCAGTGGTCCCCAACCTTGGACCTCCAGATGTTCTTAGACTTCAACTCCCAGAAATCCTAGCCCACAGAGGTGGTGGTGAAGGCTTCTGGGAGTTGTAGTTCAAGGACATCTGGAGGCCCAAGATTGGGGACCACTGCCCTAAAGGAACCCACATGCTTGAGGTTACAAGAGTTGAGCAGGGCGGCTGAGATCATTCTGGACCTTCTGGAGATCACTAATGGATAGGGCCGGCTTGCCAGCACATAACAACCACCTTTTTAATATTCTATAACTAGCATCTTACTGCTCGTTCCCACTAAGGTAAACCCATTAAATCAATGGGATTGACGTAAGTGTTGACATCGACCCACCATCCAGCCAATGCCGGAGCGGCTCAACTGGAATAGGATGCTGGCCTATACCTGCTCCTCTCTCTCCGCCGAAATAAACCACAGATACAGTCCAGCAAACAAACAGAAACTTACCATGGAATCTAAGGCAGATACTAAACTGGTGATGACTTCCTCTTTTTGAGAGAAAACCAAGTGCCACTGGTCAGGCCTGGAGTGGTTGGGTGGCCCGTCGGAGAGCTTCCCCAGCAGCGCCATCATCACCTGAAATCAAGCCGAAACGAGAGGAGAGATAAGATGCAAGGGGCATCCACTTCTTGAAAAGACAGTGTTTATTCTTATCAACAGACTTATTCTTGTTATTCTTATCAACAGACTTATTCTTGTTATTCTTATCAACAGACTTATTCTTGTTATTCTTATCAACAGACTTATTCTTGTTATTCTTATCAACAGACTTATTCTTGTTATTCTTATCAACAGACTTATTCTTGTTATTCTTACTAACAGACTTATTCTTGTTATTCTTATTAACAGACTTATTCTTGTTATTCTTATTAATAATGAGGACAAGCAAACAGAGACTCCAACAAGACAAAACAGAAGTCTTGTTGTTGGTTAAGAAAAAGGAATTTAGGATTACAGGGACTGGGATAAAAGCTCCTCTGGATGGGGTTGCATCGCATCCAAAGGACCAGGTTCACCGCTTGGGAGTGAGTCTTGGACCCACCTTGTATTTCTGATCATCAAGTATGGGTTTGAAAGCTGGACAGTAAAGAAAGCTGACAGGGAAAAGATTGATTTGTTCAAAATGTGGTGCTGGAGGAGAGCTTTGCACATACCCTGGACAGCCAGAAGGATGAATCAGTGGGTCCCAGATCAAATCAAGCCTGAACTATCTCTGGAGGCAAAAAATTTGGAAACTGAGGCTGTCCCCCTTTGGGCACATCACGAGAACACAGGATGCTTTGTAAAAGACAATAACGCTGGGAGAAACTGAAGGCAGCAGGAAGAGAGGAAGACCCAATGCAAGATGGATTGAATCTCTAAAGGAAGCCATGGGCTTGAGTTTGCAAGAGCTGAGCCGGGCTGTTGAGGCCAGGATATTCTGGAGAGGACCCCTTCATCGGGTCGCTGTAAGTCGGAGGCAACGTGACAGCTCATAACAACAATGTACTTTGCCTGAGGTCATTTTTTGATGAATGTTTGGAAGCTACATCCAGACCATCACTCTGAAGAATCACACACCACCAGTCCTGAACCAGCAGCAGAAATTTCCAATTTGCTTCCAAACTCAATTCAAGCTGTTGGCTTGATCTACAAAGCCCTAAACGCTTTACAGCCCGGATATCTGGAAGCCTGCCTCCTCTTCCTGCCCAGGACAGCCTCTGTGTTCCATATCCACCAACCCGAGAGCCTAGGTCCATGCCTAGATCAGCCCGGACACGATCCGTAGCACCATGTACATGATGGAATCCCCTCCCCAGGGAAGCCAGTCTACCTACATCTCTTTTAAGTGTCTGATGGGCAGCTAAAACTTCAGAATCACTTTCTAGAATATACTTTGGATCTGCCTTTAAGCAATGATTTTGCTTTGTTTTTGTTTTGTTTTTAAGTGTTTAACCTGTTCCTAACCATTGCAATCTCTCTCTTATAATAATGTTAAGATTAATTAATATTCACGTTATTCCTACCGTTGTTATTCTCGGCCAGAGGTCCTTACACCCTTTACAGGATGAGCTTCAATGGAAACAGATCTGAATATCAAACAGACTATTGACCCACTGTTAAATACCCCTTAACTTTCTTACCAACCAAGAAATTAGATTTTAATGCCATGTATAAATATTTGCCATGTTATCTCTCTCTCTTATGTCTGAGGAGGTGGATTTTATTCACGAAAGCTCACATTAAAATATAACAGGTAGTATTTAAGGTGCCACTGCATTTTTTTTTCATTTGTTGTTCTTAACTGTTAGAGCAGTATGACAATGGAAGCAACGACCACAGGAAGTGGTGATTTTTTTTCCAACACTGGACGCCTTCAAGAGAAAATTGGTCAACTTTTTGTCAGATCTGCTTTGATTTAGATTCCTACCTTGACCGGGGGGGGGTTGACTCAACGGTCCTACAGACCCCGTCCAACTCTATTATTCTACGATCCTATTTCATTTTTATTTTAGTTTTAACCTATAAGGCTTGCACAGGCTAACACGCCTACCTCTCCCACATCCCGTCTCAATTGCTCCCAGGAAGTCTTCATTCTTTATAAATTCAACAATAATATATTTTTCAGGCTGCTTGAAAAATATGAAAGGCTGCATCTCCACATCTTCAGAGTCAAGCATAAGAAGTGTATCGGCTTGACGTCTCCACTATAAACCTCACCGACGGATTCCAGTTTCATAATTTTATCCACAACCAGTTCAGGAGAGAGGCCAACACCTCCTTGAAACATCTGGATTCAATGTGAATGTGGATGATCCACAAGACACGGAGCGCCGGTGCCACGGATCCTGTATACATCCTCTATAGTCTGGTTTGCTATTGCTTGGCCTCGCATCAACCCCTCAACGGAGTGAGGGGAGGAGTTCCAGCATCTCCAGATATTACCACATCTGCTCTCCAGGCCTACTTCCTTTCAACAATTACCAAATCATGGCAGTTGTGAGCCAGATGTTTATCCGTTTCGAACCCAAACATCTTGTAACTTTTTAAACTTCTTCTTCATCTTCAACAACCTCTTTGGTTTTGCGGTGTGAGGAAAAGCTAGCCCAAATCTTGCAGGTCAAGGTAGAAAGGTGACAGTCTAACCTTCTTCCTTGGGATGGCAGTTTTCCACAGGCAGGGAATAATTATTTTTTAGGGATCACTTGGAAGCCGCAACCCACAGATGTAAAGCACTGCAGTCTAGACGTACGTTTTACTGCCTCAGTGAAAAGACAAAAGCTCTGTATAAAATCACAAAATAATTGAGTCGGAAAGCGCCTATCAGGCCATCGAATGTAACTCCTAATAAATGCAGGAATCCAAATCAAAATAGATCTGATAGGTGGTTGTCCAATTGGCTCTTGAATGCCTCCAGCGTTGGAGCGCTCGCCACCTCCCGAAGTCATTGGTTCCATTGTCGTACTGCTCTAACGGTTAAGAAGTTTTTCCTGATATTCAGCCTTAATCTGGGTTCCTATAATTTGGAGCCCATTCTTCCATGTCCTGCACTCTGGGATGATCGAGAACAGATCCTGACCCTCCTCTTTATGACTACCTTTCAAGGATTTAAAAAATCCTGCCGTATCCAATGACTCCCCCACCACCACCGAATAAGATATTTTATTACGCTTCAACATCAGAGAAAGCATACAGATAAGGAACTAGCAAGCAGTCATCCCTCCCAGGTAAAGGCAACCAAATAATTTTTTTTTTTGCCAGGATCCAGAAAAAACACACACACAAAGATAAAACCCCAGTGGATGAGACTGAGACGCCTATCTCATTTCCATTTGCCTCCAAGACACGTGAAATTATGGCGTGGAGGTAAACAGCTCTCCTTGGCTGTTCTTCTCCAGGGGAAAAACACACGGCGTCTAAACCCTGAGATTCTGTTCATTTCTAACGGCCAAAGAAGAGAATCATTTGAGAGTTCAGGGAGCCCTGTGGACCAGACAATGTGAGGGACACAACCACTGCAAGTGTACTTCTTCTGAGTTGCGTTCGTCCCCCTCAACACAAGCACACTGATCCAGAGTTTCCAGGGACCAGCTGAGCGTGCTTTACGCCAGATCCTTCCCACACATGAAAAGAGCAATACAACGAATTCTCAGATGAAGAAAGCAAGTCCTCTGAGCCTCTTAAGGTCCCCAATGAGATGGTTGCACAGGACTCAGAAGGTATCTGAGATGAATGCTTAAAATGGGACCAGCAGCAAATGCTGATCCAGAAAAAGGGGGAGTTGGGAGCATGTATATAAAGTCACTGGAGACCATTAGGAATGGACCTCAACAGATGGGAAACCCTGACATCTGAGCATTCAGCCTGGAGGCCGGTGTTGCATCACGGCCTCTCCCAATTTGAAGAGACCCTTGTCCAGCAGGCCGAGGCAAAGAGGTAGTCCCGAAAGCAGCAAAATCAGGGAGCTGGACAGGGGACAGACTGTATTTGTCTTCCGTGTGGAAGGGATTGTCACTCTCGAATTGGCCTTCTCAGCCACACTAGACGCCGTTCCAAGTCCTCTATTCACAACACATTACCATTGTCTCTCGAAACTGAAGGATTCCTACCGGAGACCAAGGCCAAGCTCATCCACGCTTTTGTATTTCCGACTGTGTTTTCCATTCTTGGGTCTCCCATTTCTCAGAGTGATTTTTTTCGTTCTCTTTTAATATTTGTCTACATATTGCCCTTAGCTTTAAACACTGTCTTTTAATGATGTTAATCCTCATGGTCTACTCCTTGTTCGAAACTTTCAATGCTGTCTTTCAAGGTTGTAAGCCGCCTTGGGTCCTTCTTAAGGAGAAAGGTGGTGGTGGTGGGGATATTTAAATAAATAAAATAAAATAATACAGGCATGAGAAACAGGCTCTTCAGGAGAAGAAAGAAGCCTCGGATTTGTAAGAAGGGAAGACTTCATTAAAAGTGTTTTTTTAATGCAACCATGGCAGGAAGGGGTGCAGGTTTTTTGGCTATTATAAATACAGATATCAGGAAATGTTAGGAAAAACTTCGTAACTGTTAGAGCAGTACGACAATGGGACCCACAACCTTGAGAAGTGGTGAGCGCACCAACACTGGAGGCTTTTGAGATATATTTAGACAACCACCTGGCAGATATCCTTTGATTTGTAATCCTGCATCGAGCTGTGTTTACATTGTGAAAGCAAAATCAGAGCTGGGCAGTACTGTAAGTACATGTTACTTTCTGTCCGCTCCGACATGTTTCTTTGGAATTGCCAAAGAGACGCCTATAAAATGGAAAACGAAGTTTCTGGCTCTCAGAAGGCGGGGGGGGGAGATGAGCAGAATTCTGATGTGATGAAAGTCTTTATAACTACAGGCAGCAGAGCGTGGGTGCAGGATCAGGGGGGCCGGTTTTAACTGATCACAAGCGGAACCCATGAGCCAGATGCGTGATGCTGCAGCAGAAAAAACAAATGCATTCTGACTTTTCAAGAGAACATGGCCAGGGGCATCTGGTCCAGACAGAGATGAGGCAGACTCTCCCCAATGCTCTGTCTCTCACTCAAAAGAAGTGGGATGGGGTGATAGTT